GAGGGGAATATTACTCAGCCATAAAAAAGAATGAAACCTTGTCATTTGGAACAACATGGATGGACCTAGAGGGTATTACGTTAGGTGGAATAAGTCACAGAAAGAGAAATACCGTATCATTTCACTTATATGTGGAAACTAAAAAACAAAAACGAACAAACAACAATAACAGAAAAGAGAAAGAGCCTCATGGAGAACAAATTAACGGTTGCCAGAGGGGAGAGGGGGTGGGAGACAAGCAAAACAGGTGTTGAGGATTAAGAGGGTACAAATTTCCAGTTATAAAATAAGTTACGGGGATCACGAGTACAGCAGAGGGAATATAGTCAATAGTATTGTAATTACTGCATGATAATAGATGGAAACTACATTTATCACGGTGAGCATTTCAAAATGCACGTAACTGTCAAATCACTTGTTGAAAACCTGATTAACGTCAATTATACTTGTTTTTTAAAAAAAACACTGAACCGTACATTTAAAAATGGTTAAAACAGTAAATTTATGTATGTTTTACCACAAAAAAGAATTCTAGAAGTAAAACCAGACGCCAAGAATCCATTCCAGATGCACTGAATATTCTCCTGGTCTAGCTGATCATTGTAACTTGGACTTCCTCCCCTGATGGTACATCTTAGAGCAAAGCTTACCTGAGTTTTAATGTCACTTAAAAGAAAACCTGTGTCCCTCACTTTACCTTCAACTTTAATCTGTCATTCTACCATGGTAGGTAACTTGGCACAATGGAGCAATGTGTGTTTGACGGTCATCAAGTAGGCAAATATTTAGCAAACTATCGAAACAGACCCAGGTTTGTACTTGCTATGGCACTCCCTACTGAAAAACTTCCATCACATTAATCAATCTACCTGCCTGCCTTGTGGGCACTGAAAAAGAAAATAAGTGAAAAACAGGGCACAGTTTCTGGCACCATAGGAAATAAATGTAGAGACACACACACACACCCTCCTCGCCCACGTTTCCTTCTAATGGGCCCTGGCTTATGTTCTCCATTCTAAACAACTAGCTTAGGATAAGTTCTGGAAGGCTCATCGGCCCCCACCTCCAAGCTTTTGCTTGTGCCACTTGCCTGCTATTTTGGAATGAGCAAGAAGGACATTTTATCTTTCCCCACCTTGCACAAACATTACCTTTGGAGCATCTGCTTTTCATATTAACCTATTTTCTCTCACTACCTATTATGAAAAGTTGCTTATAAATATGTTTTTGTGTTAATTCCTAAACTTCTCTCTCCTCTCTCCTAATAACGTGTATGTTCCTTGAGAACAGGGACTATGTACTTCCCTTCACTTATAAGTACAAGATCCAGATACATTTTTCTGCTATGACAGCTCAACTGTATTATCTTTCAGTGGGAATAAAACTATAGGATTTCTCTGGGGGCAGGGGACACAATTGAGAAACAGGTGACATATTCATTGTGGTACCTATTTTTAGCTTAACACTCGCTAAGAATCACAGTACTGATTAGTGGCAAAAAACAGGTAACATGAAATTTACCATGCTAACCATGTTCAAGCGCACAGCTCAGCAGCATGAAGCACATTCACCCTACTGGGTGGTCATCACCACCATCTACCTCCAGAACTCTCTACTTCTTGCAAAACTGAAACTCTGTATCCATTAAACATTGACTCTTCAAGTCCTCTCTCCTACCTCCAAACTGGCAACTAGTGCTCTGCTTTCTGTCTCAGAGAATCTGGCCACTGTTTCCGTTACCTCCCATAGCTGGGCCATTCAGTATCTGTCCTTCTGTGGCCGGCATACTTCACTCAGCAGAACGTCCTCAAGGCTCGTCCTGGTGCACCACGGGAGAACTTCCTTCCTTTTTAAGGCTGCACGTTATTGACTTTTGAGGGGGAAAAACAACCCTACACATATGTCTTAACAGATTATTTATTAACATGTCATTCTAAACATTACATAAATACAGCCTATATACTAGAGTATCAAACATTGTTCCAGTAAGAATTTCAAGATTACATTTAGGGCTATCTTAAGAAATATGAATACTTTGGCTTTCATTATTACATCAGATGAAAAAAAACAATTCAAAGAACAGTTTTCATTTCCTGCTACAATTAACAATAAAACCAAGTAGAAAAATAAGAGTGTATTAAAAAAAAAAAAGATACTCAAGTACTTTTCAAAGGACTTATTCCCATTTTCTTCACTACATACATACTCATACAAATTACTCAGTAATCTACTATGAGAAGTGGTTCTTCACCTGTATAAGGAACTTCAGGAAATATTTGTTGAATGAGTGAACAAATCTATGGAAATTTATCTACTACTTTAATTTGTGCTTTTTTTTTTAATTCTTTTTTCAAGTAAGAGCAATAGTAAACATACTGAAGTTCTTATTTGTCCAGATCATAAGCCTACAGAACAGTGATTGTTACAAACACTACCCATCATAGCTAATAATCAAATTAATGTGCATTTATCAACCTAGTAAGAAAAATTCTATCATGTTGCAGAACTAATTCTAATCTAATAATTGAATGGACTTCAATCACCTGCGACATGGTCAAGAAAAGGAAACTGGGACTGCTAGGCTTGTAGTTATCTCACTTATCAGTGAACTATCTTTGAGCCTTCACTCCCACCCAACCCCCACCCCCACACCGAAACATTGCTAAAAATAGCGGCTGCAGCATATCTTCCCCCTCCTATTAATTCGGCTCTGAAAATGTATTTAGGCTCCAAGTTCAGATGAGGGAACTTCCAAGCAGGAAAGAGTTCACTAGGGCACGCCCACAAATGGAAATGAGTCCACGGGCCAGAGAGCAGAACAAAGCTTTGTTCTCACAGCAAGCTCAATGGACACACATGATAAAACCCAGAGCTGAACACTCTTCCTCCCAAAATCACGTTTCATAAGCAGACCAAAACAAAACCAAACACAAAACCAAATTGAAAGACCCTTTTAAGTAGGATCTTTTCAGGAAAACCATAATTTTGATCCTTTTTTTAAGTTAAATTGTGTTAAATATTATACCTAACACATAAAAGCTGAAGAAGTCTAAAATGAAAGCCACTGAGATTACAAATAAGCGAATGTGTGATGATACTCGGCCTGGATAAAAGAGCTAAAACAAATTCCAAGAAGTCCTGCCAGAAAGGTGGTTTTAAGAACCACTTCTGAGTCTGATGTAGCAGATCTGATGATCTAGCTGCCATGATTTTAGGAAGGCCAGAGTATAGGAGCATGCCATTACTTTCCTCTTATGATGAGCATTTATGGGGGAAACGATGGGGGAGCAATTTTAACTTCAGTTCTCGGACTTTGTCTTAATAAAACAAAACACTGTTGGATAGTAGTGGAGATTCTAATTTATAAAATATTGACCTGTGTCCAAACAAAATTTCTTTCATGATCAAGTTTTCACAGGTAGTCCTAAATTACTACTCTTTCTGTGCTTAAGTCTTTAGAGAAGTCTTGGCCTAGAAGTTTATCTCTACATGATCAGCATCTCAATAGGTTTAACTCAGATTAAACTGATTACTATTTTGAAACACCATGAAATTAAAAAAGGTCCTCAGTAGTGCAAATACAAAAGCCTCAAACTATCTTAACTATGCCTCACAGTATGGCTACTGAAATAGCAATTAATGCAGCATTTCAACGAGCTCCAAAGTCAGCATCTTTAATTCACGGTGGGGCCTCTATGACTATCCCACAATTCACAGACTGTCCCAATTCCTGGTGTCAAAGGGTTGTCAATATGTGAAACAGAAGAATTACCACAGATTTCCCCTTTCCAAGTTCGTAAGTTCCTCTAATCAGAAACAAAACAAAAAAACAACCACCTGAACTTTCACCCCTTTACAACATTCCAGCCAAATTAAGGTCACATTTAAAATCTACATATCTGGAAACAAGAGTTGTTCAAAACGGGTTCAGGAAAGCTGTACATCCTTCATATATTCCTACACAGAGAACTGTGTCTCAGAAATGGGAAAAAAACAAAAAACAAAAAACAAAAAACACCTAATGGGTTTTTTACCTGCAAAATTACAACACCCGCAGAGCACAAAGGACGCACCATCGCCCATACCCCCAGGCACTCACAAAACCCAGCAGCCTTGGGCTTCAGTTCTTAAAGGCTCCACATTTACTGGCTTTAGCAATGAATTCCTTTAGCAGAGGGCCATCCATTTGCCAAAATGCTGCAGTCTGTGTAACTTCTGTCAAATGATTGATGCAAAACTTAAAGCAGAATTCTTCTAAATCCTGGACACACACAACAAAAATAAAAACAAGAAGAGGCCTTTTTTATTAACTTTGACCGAATTACTTCTATCCAAACCCTCATCCCAAATCTTTCACCCTCCCCTAGAAAAGATATTTGAGGCCAGAAACCTCAAACTAAGCAAACAAGTGACCATAGATAGGTATCAGAAAAGCACACACTACTTAGCCAAAAATAGTGAAAGCAGTAATTCCACTACCTCAAGTCTGACTCTTCAAAACACACACCCATTCACACAACCTATGGGGGGACAGCTTCTGCAAGGCTACCACACAGTCTCGTCCCACGCAGACTTCATCCTGAGAAGTTGAAAGCATACACCTAAAACTAGTACAATAATGCTGGCCAATTATTCTTCAATAATAACTAAAAACAAAGCTGAAAGCAACTTCAGTCCATCATGTTTTACCACAGTCAAGAAGTCTGAAAAAAAGAATTAAGACAGCTTAAAGAAGATTTTAAGAAACAAAAAAGTGATAAAGAGATGACTTCAAGAGACACATTAAAAAAGAAAAAAATTCCAAAGACCTTAAATCCACTTTTATGCTCTTCTAGATAAAATGCCATCATTCTTAAAGCCATAAGGAATAATACACTACAATTCCCAGTGAACTAATTTCTCAGATGGTCAATCCGGAGAAGAATATTCAAAGACTGGAGTTTTCAGTCAGACGAATGAAGTAACCAGCTACTGACACTCAGAAGGAAAGTAATACACACGAGTGGCAAACCGGAACAACTTAAAAACCTATTTGCACCAATGATAATACAGACTTTCATGCGCAGCAAAATGGCTACTATGTTTGTTCCTTTAAAAACTAGAACATATATTTACTAAATCAGTTAGGCACTGGAATGTATACAAAGTCTAAATATATAACAGCAAATCACGCTGAAAGCACTTATCACAAATACCTTGATTTTTTTTTAACTTTGCAAGCTACACTGAAGGTCAATACTCCGGGTTCTATCAAACCAGGAATTCAACATTTAAACTGCAGTGTCTTGGTTTCAAGTTTCCAGATACTGTCAAACGAGAATTTCAGGCAGGTTAGGGAAGGGCACATACAAACACAGTCACATCCCTTTCTACTCTCTCAGTGCAGAGCCCTGCAAACAAATGCTTCCTTCTTTTAAGGGTCCCTGAATGAGGTTCCCATCAGTCATATCACCAGTAAGAGATAAACCACCTCTATGTGTATCAGTCAGCTGCTGCCAGAGTTTTGTTTTCTAGATAATTCACAATGCATTTAAAATATCAGCACTGGGGCGCCTGGGTGGCTCAGTGGGTTAAAGCCTCTGCCTTCGGCTCAGGTCATGATCTCAGGGTCCTGGGATCGAGCCCCGCATCGGGCTCTCTGCTCGGCAGAGAGCCTGCTTCCTCCTCTCTCTGCCTGCCTCTCTGCCTGCTTGTGATCTCTGTCAAATAAATAAATAAAATCTTAAAAAATAAATAAATAAATAAATAAAATATCAGCACTATCTTTGCAACAGCACTTTTTAATAAGAGAGTCCCTGTGGGCTGAAGTACAGGTAAATGTTCTGTGTATTATAATAAAACAAAATGTTAAACTATATAAAACATTCCCTCTCACATTACTATTAAAGAAAAAGCCCTACTCCTGGTATTACAACCCAATGATTAAGAAACAGCTTTAGGGACTAAATTATATTCCACAAGGAGATAAAAGTCATTTTAATCTTATTTATCAAAAATAGAAAACTAGTTTTTCTACACATAATTTAGGAAGAAATAACAAGTCATAAGCACAGAAAGTTCTTCAAACCATGCAATGTATCAGATGAGGATCTTTAAATATTAACTTTTAATCACATAATTTCAAATTCAAAGAAGAATTTGAAGAATTCAAAGAAGACTGCACTAAATTGTGGCGTTGTAAAACCTTATGAGTTCCGTGTCTACAAATCTGGAATTCAAGCTCTTTTGAGTACACGTGAAAAAATGAGTTTACCCAGCTTACTAATTATACAGAGATGATCTTGGGTATAAACTTTAAGAACTTTGATGCAGTACAGGTACACAAAGGGTGTCTCTAATTACAAATCACTTCATACATTTGTGAAACTAGCTCTGTCAAACTGCCTTCCCTTCCCCTCCAACTAGTTTGAATTGGTTCGATAACTCAGTATTCAAAAAATGTTCTGCAGTTTCAAACACTGAAAGTTGAACTAGAGAACCCTGAAAATTATCTAAATCTGGGTTATTGAAATAAGTAATTGTCATTTAACGGCTAAATCCTGCGTAAGGCAGTTCTATGGAAAAGGAAGTACTGAATGCACTTGGAAGGAAACTGTTTGCAAGTTCATTTGCATGAAGCAGAGAGACATAGCAATGCAATTCACTCAGCAGCCAATGCTCTGAGCCGGCTTGTCTTTGAGGTGTAAATGAGATATTTTTCTGATTAATTCTTAAATATTTGAAGAACCTACATCATCTGTTTGCTCATTCTGCAAATGATCACATCTTCAATACCCAAAAAAGAAAATTCAACTCCTACCTAACTAATAAGGTAACTATAACAAGAGTGCCCGGCTTTATATAAAACATTTCCAAGAAGAACAAGAAGGCATCACCTGACCAGTAAATGAAAAAAGTTCATAACAGGGGTGTGCCTGGGTGACTCAGGCCATGATCCCAGGATCCTGGAATGGAGCCCCACATCAGGCTCCCTGCTCAGCAGGAAGCCTGCTTCTTCCTCTCCCACTCCCCCTGGTTGTGTTCCCTCTTGCTGTGTCTGTCAAATAAATAAATAAAATCTTTAAAAAAAAAAAAAGTTCATAACAGATTGGAGCATCTTCTTAAGGCCCATGGAATACAGAAGTGGGAAAGGATGCAAAATCAGGGGCTCTAAAACGATATTCTTGGTATTTTAGAAACTAAATCCCTTACTTACGACATTTTATGGTGAAATTATTATAAAGTGGTTCTAAGGCAAATCAGATAAAATACTAGATTTGTTGTAATCAGCAAGAAAGCTCAAAATATATTGCTATTCTGAAATAATTTATAAATTCACTCCAAATTTTTAAAATTATTCCAATAACTTTTATATTCTGAAAATAACTTGTTTTTCCTTCCCACAGATTTTCTTTGGTAACAAAGTAAAACACAGACAGTTGATGGTCTTTATATCCCCATTTTTAAAAATGCTACTGCAGCCTAAATGAACTTAACCAGTCCTAAATTCCCCAAAGCTAAAATAACTGAATGCTAAGAATTTTATTGAAGGCCACTTGGCCAGGGTGAGACAGGTTGTGTATGGGTCACAAGCCAACCTTGAGACATATTCCAGATGGCAAGACTGTGAACCATAACTACTTCTGTCCAAACTTGTTGTTAAAGTAATAACAAAACTCTAAAACTGTATGTTCAGTATTTTATAATATATATCAGGTACAAAATATTCCAGATTAAAGGGGTCTTTGGTTTGGTTTTTTAGAATGTACTTAAATGTCTTACTACATACGACAAAATATAGAAACGTACTTTGTCTCACTAACCAAAAAATATTTTATAGTCTACTGATGATGGAAAACTTTTAATTTCAGAAAGAAAAAAATGCTGACCATCAGCCTTTAGCACAAAATTTTTCAATACCAATATCCCAAACCAATTTTGGAATTAGATTCCTGGCCTTATTTTTATGACTTCCCAACAGTAGCAAAATCTTAGAATGTAAGTTGCTCACCAAGTAGGATTTTCTGGAAAGTGCTGTACTCTTGTTCCTAACTATTTCTCCTAATGTTCAAATATAAACAGAAAACAAAAATCTCCTGAAGACGGTATAAATACAAACATTTCAAAATTCGTGTGATGAGCTATAGAACTATCTCGATACAGTGTTTCATTCACGTCTTCTCCCTTGATGGCAATGTTCATTTGGGTTTGTACTAAAGGAATATGGAAGTGCTCCTGTGCCAAGTCCTTCCTCAGCTAAAACTTGGAGAAAGTTTGACAATGCACTCACAATGTGACAGCTCCACAACAAGCAGCTTACTTTTAAAAAAAATCTTCCTAACTACTGAGTCAATACATTTTTGTTGCTTTTATGTGTGTATATTTGCTTGGACATTATCTTGTCAAATGGGGTACAGAGGAACTGCAGGAACTTACAGAAAAGAGAAAAAAATAGGAGAAGCATGTGGTCTCCATCTTCCTAGCATTTGAACCACAGAATGAAGGAAAAGTCACCTGGTCTCAAGTGGAGCTTCTGAAAGTCAGTCAATTTTCTGGCAGTTAATTTCCAATCTGACTTAATATAGAAGCTTCCCATCAACTAATAAAGTGAGTGGGTTTTATTTTTATATTCTAAACACTTCATTTGGGGTTCCTGGGTGGCTTAGTCATTAAGTGTTTGCCTTTGGCTCAGGTCATGATCCCAGGGTCCTGGGATCAGCCCCACATCGGGCTCCCTGCTCAGCAGGGAGCCTGTTTTTCCCTCTCCCACTCCCCCTGCTGGGGTTCCCCCTCTCACTGTGCCTCTGTCAAATAAATAAATACAGTCTCAAAAAAAAAAAAAAGAAAGAAAGAAAAAGAAACACTTTGTTCACTTACTACATTCTACACCATTAAGGAAATATAATGTAAAAGTATATTAGTCAATTACAGAACTCCTATAAGAATCTTCAAAAAAAAAAAAATAGCCTAGAAAGAAAGAGGTGATTCTCTCCTTTTTGTCTTCTATTTTCTAATTTTTCTACATTGAATATATAATATTTGTGGGGTTGGGGTTTTTTTTTCGTTTTCTAAAAAGTACACCTTTGTGGTGAGGTATTTCAAATATATTTGTTCATTCATTTAATTCAACATACTTTTTTTTTTTTTTTTCATTTATCAGAGAGAAAGAGAGCACAAGCCGGCAGAGTAGCAGGCAGAGGCAGAGAGAGAAACAGGCTTCCCACTGAGCAAAGAGCCCAATGCAGTCCCAGGACAATGGAATCGTGCATGACCTGAGCCAAAGGCAGCAGCTTAACCGACTGAGCCACCCAGGGGCCCAATCAACATACACTCTTGAGTGCCAAACCAAATGCCCATACTGTGACAGACTCTAGGGAATCACATATATTTTCAGTCTCAAAGAAGCGACAGTATTTCATGTGTCTATACTTAGTATGAGAAAAACAAAAACTAGTAATAAAAAAAATTTCCAGGGGCACCTGGGTGGCTCAGCAGGTTAGAGCCTCTGCCTTCAGCTCCGGTCAATATCCCAGGGTCCTGGGATCGAGTCCCGCATTGGGCTCTCTGGTTGGCGGGGAGCCTGCTTCCTCCTTTCTCTCTGCCTGCCTCTCTGCCTACTTGTGATCTCTGTCTGTCAAATAAATAGATAAAAATCTTAAAAAAAAAAAAATTTCCAGCTGGCATGGGTAGAAGCGGCACAAGGTGTTTTTCTGTGACTTTTGGGGGTAGGTTTTAGCTTAGTGAAAAAGAAATTTCTTGTACCTAGAGCTGAGATGTTTGCCTCTGCCCAGATGGTTCTAACTGGCTTCAGTTAGCACTATCCTAATCCCAGGAATAAGGAACTCATTAGCTGTGAAGGAGTAGGGGAGAGGCGCAGAGAAGATGTTAAAGTCAATTAAAAAGTGGACAGAACAGGCATCAACCAATTTAAAATTATATCACTGGGTAGACTGTAACCCAAAGAAATAGCACTTTTCAATAAAGAAGTTCATGGTGTCACAGAAAAGGTAGAAAAAAATCTATACTTCCATTTCCTATAGACATAATTTACTTTGATCATCATAGCATCTGTTGCCAGACCACACACCTAGTCAGCTATTTGAACTTATTAAATATTTATAATCATAATCTCAAATAAAAATAGGACACATTTTGAAAATACAAGACGAAATGGTGCATTCTGACCCCTAAGTGTGATAAAGATGAAATCTGTCTTCCACCCCACTGCCAAGGCCACGGTTACAGACCTCTGCGGGTGTTTGGCAAATCCTGATACCAGGTTCTCTGCCTTGTCAAATGATGACAAAATACCTCTGAGAAGGTCACTAAAGTGTACGCTTTAACTGGACATCTTGAACTCTCAGCCTACCACTCTCTACCTTTTATTCTCTGTAAATTTATAAAACCAACCAGACCAGCCTTAAGTCCACTAATTATCCTTAATGCACCCTTCAGGTAGCACCATATTCATTCAGTTCCACAAACATTTATTACCGGGCGCCTACTACGCGCCAGGCACTACAGCGTACAGAGGTGAATAAGAACCAGTTCCTGCCTATGAGCAGCTTACAATCTGATGACACTTTGGTTCTTAACTTCGAGAAAACACACTAAACGCAAATTTCAGACTCCCCAAAGCCCGTTCATTCATAGATTCTCTAGAGATCCATGAATCCTAGATTAAGAATTCAATCCAGTGCAAAATCAACCATTCACAACCAAACACACAAACAAAAAGAGTCCAGACTGAGTTCTTCACACATGAATGAGTTATAATTAGACAAAGATAGAATTTCAGAGCACACACAGATACGAATCACACAGCATCTTTGGCTGACAACAGGGTAGAGTTAGGGAGATAGCAAAGTGGGTTTTGAAAAAAATATATATGCTGACCTTGAGAAACCCCCGAAACTACAATATGGCGTCAGTCCAACTGGGTAGGACACTTTCTATTTCGACCCACAGTAGAGCTGCTTGGACTTCAGTTAGTTTCTTTTCTTAGTTAAAAATGAAAGAAGAACAGCCATTTTTGAAACTATGAACACAGAACAAACAAGGAAGGCCAGCTTTCATTTTTTAGGGATCAGTCAGTTCATGGATTCCCTAAATAGAAGTGAAATTACTCCTTTTCCTTGTCTCATGCAAGAAAAGCAGGGGGCAGGCCATGGGGAGTCGGAGGAGGTGGTTTCTGTTTTTTATTTTATGTTACCTCTGCATCGTATCTGACTGCAGCAGAGAACAGTGAAAAGGCATTCTCCACTGTAATTCCACGTTTGATAATGTGCTGACAAAGCTTTCTCAGTCGGTTTTCACAGTAAGATGTAGCCAAGTCCAAAAGACCTAAAAGCAAAAAGTATGGAAGGTTTAATTAATTTTATGATAATTTCCCATAATTTATAAACATACATAATTTCGGTGAAAAGAGTTATGTGGATAAATCAACAGAAGTTTCTTAGTGAATAACACTCTAAATTTTATTAAATAAACCCTCTTTTTCACTCCCTACCTCCCCCACCCCCAAACAGACCTCTCCTACACTCACTTTATGCATCTTCTTCTACAGTACAAAGGAAGGGGAATAAATAAAATTAACCCCTCATTTTACTTCTGAGATGAGATGTTATTTCATTAGCAATGTATATTTCAGTATTAATAGATGAAAATAAGTCCATGGTCATAAATAAATGTATCCATAATTATTAACCATCATTACTATACAACACAATTTTTAAAGACATTTATCTTCAAATATTGTCTAAAAACCAGTCAACCTGACACTTTTTACACTTCAGCACTGTAAGAACACAACAAGAGAGTTGTGTGACCACGTGGCTTGGCCTGTCCCGCGGGCTGAGGTACCTATAGCATCTTCCGGCGGCAGGTCCACTGTGTCTGTGTAGAGGTACTGGAGAAAGGCACGGTATACTGGGTAAGAAAACTGGTCTATTTCTATCACCTCCTTCATATCCTCATTCCAGTAAGACTGGAACATGGACCGAAAGTGCTCACACCTAAACAGAACACAGAAAATTACCTATGAAGTTGCTGCGGTCAGGTAAGTATTACAGGCCTCCTTAACTATTCCTATCCTTGGGCCCACACACCCCAGGATCACGGATTTGCAGCTAGCAAAGGCTTTCACATTCACCATCTGCATATTTCCACTTTCATTTTTCGATGAGAACTATTAAATACTAAGAATTAGAAATGGAGCCTAGAAGTAAGTACCTAGCACTTCCAGTGTTCCACTGTCTCCATGTGGCAGACCTCATTCAGATCAATTATTCTGCTCATGTGTTTTTCTTAAAAGTATTATAGAGAAATACATTTTAAACAATGAAATTAAAAGAAATTCAGAAATGATAGTTCAAATCTTTGACTGTATATCAGTATCATTCAAGTAATTTATTTGGTTTTTAATTTTCATGTAATCAACATATCCTTAAAATGGTTTTAAATGCTAACTGGATTACATTTAGGCTGATTATTATCCCATTACCTTACATGATAAATTTCCTTCTTTTCTGACACACCTTCAAAATAGCCATTAGTCCTATTTTGTTCTTCTGCTTTGACCTGCTCCCTTTCAATCTTCCCAAGCCTGTTAGCAACTTACTCACAAAATACATTCACTGGGAGAGTCACAGATTTAAGAAAAAAACTTCAGTGGGTCTTTTTATGTTGTATTTGTATGGAAAAAGCCACCTGTATGAGGAACTGATTTCTAAATACTGGGTTTTCTTAAGTATGTCATTTACTTCAGTTTTAAAAAGTCACCTTTTCAAATCCTTTTAAAATGAGATATGGTTGTGCTCGCTTGGGCAGCACACATACCAAAATGAGATATGGTGTAAATAAACATAGATATTTTCAAAATCCATTCTCAACTAAAAATGGTTCCACCTACATAAGACATTACTTCATCTGAGAAGTAAAGAGAAACAGTTGTCTAGGCAAGGAATGACAAATTAAATGCGACAATTAAATGAAAGGAACAGATGGTTGACCAAAGGTTCATGGAAAGGAACATTTCCAGTTCACCTGTTAATACTTTGGTTCAGATATTTACTCTCTCAATAATAACTGACATATGGCTTTGGGGTTCCCTTAAAATGTGTTATTTTATAAAAAGATTTTCAACTAAATTTCAAAAGGGACTTATAAATGGCCACTTTAACTCCCAACAGTCTCACTTCATGTGCCTCTTTTTCAGTAATGGCAGCCTCAGGGCCCAAGAGTCCAAACCGTTATTAATAAATACAATCCTGTCATCATCTACTCTCTCTAAAGGACGTTTCTGTAATTGGGAATTAGATGTCCCTCAGGGTCAGAGGTTCACCACTCCTGACCGTGAGTTTTCTGCTTGAGGAAAAAGGAATCTTTAAGTGTAAAAGAAGATAAACACACTTTTCACTAAAAATCTTCTGTATTTTTTTTAAGCATGTAAATTTGTCAATGGAAATAAATACTCACCAGATCTTCATTTAAAACACAATACAGACAGTGAGCCTGAACGGTTCAGTCGGACTCTGGATTTTGGCTTAGGGTCTTGGCTTAGGGTCATGGGATCAAGCGCCACATCACCCAGGGTGGAGCCAGTTTGGGATTCTCTCTTCCTCTCCCTCTGCCCCTCTTCCCACCCTGGCTCAGAGCATGCACTCTTTCTCTCAAAAAAAAAAAAAAAAAAGGAAAAAAAACGCCAACACAGTACAAATATTCACATTACCACATCATGCCTTTTCAAAAAGGCAGGACTGCATACTCACATACACATGCAAAACTCTTCAGTAATGCATGGATCCCATTCACAAAAATACTAAGTTGTACCATTTCTCTCTACTGCCAAGGCTATTCCTTATCAGTCTCCATTTTGTGGGCTAACAAAAAAAATGGGGATTGCAACAACAAAAGGTTATTAATGTCTTTAAGTTCACACAAAAATACCTGATTTTCAAAACAGCCTTATGGACATGGATATATTTCCCATCAATTCGAAACTTCAGATCAGCAGTTTCTGGACTATCAAATTCTTTCTTCAGTGATTCGGCAACTGTTAAAAAGTCTTCATGCTCTGAAAGCAACAAACACGTTATTAATACAAAAGGCTCAGGAAACGTGCTAGAGATATGAAAGACTTCAAAAAAATAACCATTAGCATGATAGATAATTCCATCAGATTTTTTTCAAGAGTTCATGCCTTATTTGACAAATCAATTTCACTGTATCAAAATAAGTACTTTGAGTCTTTACCAAAAATAGTAGTTGGAAAAGCCAATTACCAGTCTTACATACCAAGTCAGACATTTTATTAATTTATTTATTTAAGATTTTATTTATTTATTTGACAGACAGAGATCACAAGTAGGCAGAGAGGCAGGCAGAGAGAGAGAGGAGGAAGCAGGCTCCCCACGGAGCAGAGAGCCTGATGCGGGGCTCGATCCCAGGACTCCGGGATCATGACCCAGGCCGAAGGCAGAGGCTTTAACCCACTGAGCCACCCAGGCGCCCCAAGTCAGACATTTTAAAACGTATATTTTGGGGCTGCCTGTGTGGCTCAGTCAGTTAAGCATCTGCTTTCAGCTCAGGTCATGATCTCAGGGTCCTGGGACTGAGCCCCACAACAGACTCCCTCTCCCACTTCCCCTGCTTGTGCTCACTCTTGCTTTCTCTTAAATGAATCTTTAAAATGTGTATTTTTTAAAAGAATAAAAAGTTAAAAGCAGTCCACGATTATATAAATACTTACTTAAAACTTTGGTTGTTCTCTTCACAGACTAAGAATTTATCAATTTTCCCTGACTGAAACACCAAGAACATCTTTGCTCTGCTTTGGGGTAGTTTCAAGGAGCTAGTAAATTCAACTGAAGTTGTGCCAAGAAAGAACGTTAGCAGTGAAGTGGTAACACCATGCAGTCGTGTTCTTATACAAAGAAACCCTGCTTCCTAGGTTTGTGGAATCTCAACATCCCTCTTAATCCTAAAGATTAATGTACAAACAATAATCCTTACCTACTATCTAAAAACAGAGTAAACTGACTTAGTAACCATGTATACTCAAAGGGAACAGTTTTACAAAAAGCTGATCACACTGCCTGGTAAGAACTGCTGCAATGATTATTTGTAAGTCGAACTGTGACCTCATGAAGAAAAGTAAAGGCACTTATACAAATTAGGTAACACTTTCCTGTGCGGTCTATGCACGGACAAAGGAAAACAAGTAGAAGGCTAATAGGAAAACAAAAAGAGTTCCAGAGATCACTGGCAATGAATGCAGGTGCTGCGACAGGTTTCAACCGCCCTTAGGATGAGAACAGGGCTCTCGCAGCAGCCTGCTGCTCTTGGAGGAGGGACATCTGCTAAAACCAAGGCTGAAACTTAACAAAGAAGTTTACCCATGAGTTTAACTATCAGAACCTCCCAAGGAAATGGCATTTGTCTAAGCCCTCCCCTGGGCTCCCACAATGTAGAGCTCTCTTGGCTGTGGAGGAAAGTGGACACTCTCTCAAATATCAGGCTTTCCCTGACCCTATAACCTGGATCCCTGGGAAATAAAAGAAAGGAAATGACTAAGATGGGCACAGAATCCAGGCATCGAGAGTGCTACCCCACCCACTCACAAAGTAGCTTCGTATCGGTGTCTCCACTTCTGCATCAGTCCTAAGGCCTGACTAGCCCTTTTCCCCGTCTTGGCTTTCAGCAACAAGGACAATACTGCCTTTCAGAAAAAAAATATTCTCCAGAGGTGTTTCTTAACCCGCTGCTCTCTTTCTAACACTCAGCTGAGGTGGTAAACTTTCTGACTTTTGGTAGATGGGAAAGAAGTAGCTTTTCCAAACTTAACATTAAAAAATGTTACAACTTTTGTTCTGAAAAGGATGTCTTTTCAGGATTAGGATTCTGAGAGGCAAGTACCTGGAGAAGCTCTTTATAAACAGGTCCAGGTTAAGGAGCACATGGGATTCTGAAGACGGACACAGTGTTTGGCTGTACATGCTACACATATGTGTGATTATGGCCAAACAGTCCCATTGTGGAAACTAATTTTTTCAAATCACAACATTCACTGCAAAAAAATATGGCAGGTGGACCTGGGTGGCTTGATCAGTTAAGCGTCCGACTCTTGATGTTGGCTCCGGTTATGATCTCAGGATCACGAGATTGAACCCATGTTGGCTCCATGCTGGGTATGGAGTCTGCTTGAGATTTTCTCTCTCCCTCTCCCTCTGCCCTTCCCACTCTCCACACATTCCCTCTCTTTAAAAAAAAAAAAAAAAAAAGTCTATACTGTATTATAATTAAAGAACCTGGAAATGTTCAACTTATTTCCCTTTAAATTGAGTAGCAGCTTAACTCTTTCCAAACATACTCTTGCTCCCATGCGCATAAAGACGGGTCACCCAAAGATGAGACAGCCGCACTAGCTGTGTGACACACCTGATGACACAAGGTTACTCAAACAAAGATTTGCACACAAATATTTCTAACAGCACTAGTCACAACAGCCGAAGGTGGAAACAATCCAAATATCCATCAAGAGATGCACGGAAAAACAAGGTTTGGTCTATACGTACAACGAAATTTCATCCAGCCATACAAATGAAGAATTAATGTGTACTACAACATGGGGGAGCCTCAAAAACATTAAGTAAAAGAAGCTAGACCCAAAAGGTCACATCTCATATGATTCCCTTTATAGAAAATATCCAGAATAGGTAAATCCTTAGAAAGTAAAAGCAAAGATGTGACTGCCAGGGATAGGGGAAGGGAGAATGGGGAGTGACTGCACAACAGGCACAAGGGTTTCGTTTCATTCAGGGAAATGAAAATACTTCAGAACTCGATATAAATGGTAATCACACAGCACTGTGGCCGTACTGAATGCCTCCGAACTGTACACTTTCAAATGGTTAACTTCATGGACGTAAATCTCACCTCAATTAAAATGAAAGCAATGAACGGGAGAAAACAGTAAGTCTCTATAATATTTTATAACATACAAATAAATTCTATTATGCAAATCTATTTTGAGGAAAGGAATTACAGCTATTGGAGAATAAAACATTCTAGGACCTGAAAGTGCCCACAATCAGCAACTACAGAAACATTAATAGAGTGGTCAGCTGCTAACACGGCTCTTCCCCGGGTGGAAGGAGCCCTGAGCTTTCTCACCCACGGACAGGAGGCGCCACGAGACAGCAGGCGTGGCAAAGCAGGCGAACACGTCATCGGTGCAGGAGAAGTGGGTGAGGTGGGGCAGGATCACCGACTGGCCCCGGCACTGGCCCCACATGTACACGTGCCCGCCCTGGGTCTTGGCCGCCGACGTGTGTGCAGAGTGGCAGGCCGCGATCTCTACGACCCTGGAAAGTTTTAAGAAAAATATATGTCATTTCTTTATCACAAAAGCCGAGAGCACACCACACAAGGTAGATAAGGGGGTCATGCTGACAGCACCACAAAAAACAGCCCAGGATTGAGGGATATTAGTTATCAGGTCATAAGAACACAACTGAAAGGTCACAACAAGAGTACTGTGTTCTTCCCTTGCTTGTTGCCCCACTTCTCATCCTAACCTCATTCTGAATTAGGATAAATAACAAACACTGTTGAGGACAACTTGGAAAAAGGGACTAGAAACTAAAGTAGATGAGGAAAGTGGACAGAGGCAAAATATCCTGACATTTCGGGGGGACTTAGACAGTAGCAAAAAAAAAATAGTGTCTTCAAAATACCATTTCCTTGATACAACTTATTCTCTCAACCCCTAAATAAGCACTGGCCTCAGGGTAATGGACTCTGAACATCCTAATCCAAATGGACATCAAGCCAGACTTATATTTCTCAGTATGCTTCTTAGACAAGGTCCTACAATCAGAAGACAACCCTCTAAAACTTAGTGGGTAAGGACTCACAATTTGGCTGAATAAACAAAGCATTATTCCAGTGATATCCATTAAATCAAATCAATATTTAAAGATATTGTCCTTGGGGCGCCTGGGTGGCTCAGTGGGTTAAGCCTCTGCCTTCGGCTCAGGTCATGATCTCAGGGTCCTGGGATTGAGCCCCACATCGGGCTCTCTGCTCAGCGGGGTGCCTGCTTTCCCTCCTCTCTCTCTGCCTGCCTCTCTGCCTACTTGTGATCTCTGTCAAATAATTAAAAAAAAAAAAAAAATTTTTTTTTTAAATTTAAAGATATTGTCCTTTTAAGAGATTTTATTTATTCAGAAGTTGTTTTACTTGGCTCAATGGAAAAGTCAGAACTACACTCTGAGTTTCTATATGGTGACAGACCCTATTTCACTCCCCTACTAGATGGGTCACAGGAAGGCCGTAAGAATTACACCAATACGCATTAATGCCTATCAATCACAGGAGGTTATTTTAGAGAGCTACGTAAGAATCTTATCAACCTCATGTTCACTCTGGCTGCTATTCAAACTCTTGTTCAAAATGACAATGTAAAGAGGGTGCCTGGTTGGCTCAGTGGGTTAAGCCTCTGCCTTCAGCTCAGGTCATGATCTCAGGGTCCTGGGATCGAGACCCGCATGAGGCTCTCTGCTTGGCGGGGAGCCTGCTTCCCCCCTCTCTCTCTGCCTGCTTCTCTGCCTACTTGTGACCTCTCTCTCTCTCTGTCAAATAAATAAATAAAATCTTAAAAAAAAAAAAAAACAAAAATGACAACGTAAAGAAACAGAAGAGTTACAAAAGCTAAACCCCATAGCTCAACACACAGAGCCCCAAGTCCAAAACCACACACAGAACCCTGAGACACGGTACAGCCCAGTTACCTTTCTTTCTCCACCATGATGTGGGCTGGGCTTAGCAGGTTATTTTTATTGCCAGTTCCCAGCTGCCCATAGGTGTTAGCTCCCCAGGCATAGAGCAAGCCCTCATCTGTTAGTGCTAGAGTGTGTGCATAGCCGCAGACAATCTGCAAGTAAATTTAAATGGTTACCATCAACAGGAAAACAGGAAAGGCAGGAGAAACATTTACTTAAAGACCACAGCCAGCTTCTGCAGAATGCCAATTCATCATCAGTTATGGACTGACATTCTCTGGAACATTAAAAAAGCATTAGAAAAGCCCAAGACTGAGACTCCTAGAGTTTTCCAATCGCTTTTTTTTTTTTTTTAACTTGTCAAGACTGATGTGTCACCACCATGGTGTTTCTCCTCAACATGGGAATTTAGAGAAGATGAAACTGTAAATGTGGAAGATGAAGGCACACAGTATTGTTCTCCAAGTCAGGGCAGGGGAGCTGGAGGTGAGCAGCAGCGCAACCCAGCACACATACCTGGTTCACACACACGCTGTGCAAAGCCGCCACTCGCACAGGGGTCAGCTGATTGCCATTGTTTCCCAAGCCTAACTGACCATTGCCATTGTAACCCCAGCCATATACCTTAGAGAAAGAAAGGGAGAGAACAGGCTTTTAAAACTGTTAGTAAGAGGGAACGTATAAAAATGCCGTTCACCTAAACAAATCAGGAATACTTTTCCACTTCCAACACCCACACTCTATGTGATCCCACAAGGAATCTCCAAACAAGATATTTTGGGGGTGGGGATGACAGAATTTGGCATGAGTTCCTATGCTGTCACCTACTGTTTGGATAGCCTTGGGGCAAGTCATTTAATCTTGTTTTATACATGAGGAAGCTGATGCTCATTAACAATTATGAAACACTTCTTATATGTCAGGACATGATAAAAGGTACTAAGAATAAGTTTTTGGTCACAGTTTAACAGGAAAGATGGACAATTGCAAACTTTTGTAGTCAGGTGGTGAGCGCTATCCTAGAGATACAATCAAGTCACTACAAAAGCAGAGCAGAGAAAGGACTTAGCTATAGAAAGATAGCTTAGGAACAACCTTCAGAAAGCAGATTGAGCAGAGATAAATGGAAGTGAATGTATTCCAGGGAGAGGGCGCAGAATGTTCTAGAAGCAGGTTCTAAACATGAGCAGGCAGGCGTAGCAGGACACGTCCAGCAGTGGCAGGCTGAAGACTAGAACGAAAAGCAAAGGCCAATGGGGTGAAGTACCGAAACACATACTAGGGAAAGTAGAATGCATCTATGGGCCTTCCACTGAAATATTTCACACATCTTGGAAAGATTGTGCTGGCTCCACATAAAGGGGACCGGACTATCTAAGACTAGAGGCGGGACAGTCATTCAGGAGATATGTGTTTCTCATTAGCACACAGATGAGCCCTGCTGAGGGTCTAAACTAAGGCAAAGACAGGGGGAACCAGAGAGAAGGAACAGACAGGAAAGAGGTTAAGAAGAAGATGTAATAGAATGTGGCGACCCCTTCGCTCTCTGGAGAGGGAGTCATCAGCTGAAAGTAGCGGAGCTGGAGACAGGTTTGCCAGCAGTGGTAAAGGTTTAGAATGGCAAGTGTGGGACACAGGACAAAGCACTGACCAGGAACAGACTATAGGTTTGGTCAAATGAGAAACCTGAAATGTCTGGTGGCACCAGGACAAGGCAGGGCAAACAGATGGATGGGGCTTTTCAGGGCAATGTGACAGAAGGGGAAGGAGGACAGAGAATTTAAAATACAGCAGGAGATGGTTAAAAGCACTTTCCATAACATAAGTACAACAGGTTTTAACTTTCTGCAGAGAAATTTGGCTATAGCTATCAACAACTTTAATGGCATAACCTCTGACTCAGAAATCTTATTCCTGTGAACTTATTCTACAGAATACTTACAGAAGTGTACAGAGATATACAGTAACACAGGAAGTCAGTGCTACAATGTTTATAACAGCAAAAATTTAGAAACATTTGCAATATCCATTACTAGATTTCTGGGTGTGGGTCATCCAATAGGAAAACTAAGTAGCCATTATAATGGAAAGCAGCTATAAATGGTCTGATAATAGATTCAGGTAAACATCTGTCTTGTTAGCAGGAAAGCTGCAGACTAGCAGAGAAGAGCAGTAACCTATAATGATCCCATTTTTATAAAAGACAGTTATATTTACCCATACAGAATTGTTTATAGGGAAAAACCCAAAAGGATATTCATTAAACTATTAACAAGACTGGAGAAAAGGCACTCACTTTTTACTTTATGTGTTTCATCTCCTTTTGTTTGTGAAAATAACCACATAATAATATTTTTTAAATTTATTTTTAAAAATAAAGGAAAAGTAAAGAATACTGAAATGGAGAATGTCCAATGACTATCCCAAGAAATTCTGAAAACATCCAAGATGACATCAGGATTGATTCAAAAAATAAGTTCACACTTCTGGTGAACATGGCCTGAGGAAGAGATTCATCAAATCACTACGCTGTACACCTGAAACTAATGGAAAATTGTGCACTGACTATACTTCAATTAAAAAAACAAACAAACAAAAACAAGCGCATATATACAGAGAACAGATTGGTGGTTTCTAGAGGTGGGGGCAGAAGAGCACAGGCAAAATGGGTAAAGGGGGGCCAAAAAGTACAAACTACCAGTTATAAAATAAGTAAGTCATCGGGACGTAATGTACAGCATGGTGACTACAGGTAGTAATACTGTATTGCGTATCTGAAAGCTGCTGAGAGAATCATCTTAAAAGTTCTCATCACAAGGAAAAAACTGCATGGTGACAGATATTAACTAGAATTACTGTGGTGATCTTTAATTATACACAAACATTGAATCATTACACTGTACACCTAAAACTAACATAATGTATGCCAATTATGCCTCAATAAAAATAATTTAAAACAGTAAGCTAACATAGGTGAGTATTCAGAAAACTCCAAAGCACTCTAGCACTGCAATGCATACATACCCCACACATCTGTAGCCAAAGACAATCTTTGTGGGGTGCCTGGGTGCCTCAGGTCATGATCTCCAGGTCATGGTTAAGATTAAGCCCCACCCCCCCCACCCCGCCCCACCCCTCCACCCCGCCCCACCCCTCCACCCCGCCCCACCCCTCCACTTCTTGGCTCCCTGCTCAGCAGGGAGGCTGCTCTGCCCTTGCCCTCTGCCCCTCCCCTGCTTGTGCTCTCACAAGCTCTCTTTCTCTCACTCTCAAATGAATAAAATCTCAAAGACATATCTTTGCATAATCTTTCTCAACTAAGACATTGACAGATTGGTAAGAGGCCTATTTAAGCAGAAGTTACAACCAGAATAATTGTACAGAAATAACCATCAGCTCAAAGGTAGCCACGGTAAAGGATCACTAAAAGTTGAGTTTTTAAAAGTAGCCAACAACAACTGGCACAAAAAATTCCGCTCCTGTAAGTAGCTTCCTCCTGCCAACAGACTCCAGATGCAGGCGCACTGGAGTCCATCGCTGCTGACAAACATCACCAGTTAACTTGACAGAGGGCACACTTGATGTCTTCATTGGATAAAAGAGGTAGTATCAAATTCTTCACTACAGTAAGTCACAAATACCTATGAACACCAAACTACCTGGGGTCTCACAAAAAAAAAAAATTGAGACATATGAGTATCTTTACTTACAGATTAATCTTAGAATTAAAAATTCATACTGAGGAGCAAACACCCTCTAGGTACCCCTCAATCAGTAACCAGTTAACTACCCACGAAACTATAAAACAAGCACTTTTCCTTCCGTGATCGCATACATGCTCCTCATGCAGAAAATGCTATTTAACGAGAGAGGAGGTGAGGACGGAGGACGGGGCGCGGGCGGGCAGAGAAGCGGAGTGCAGAGAGAGCTCACCTCACCATTGTCCAGAACAGCCATGGATGAGGTCTGACCACAAGCAATGCCAACCACTCTCTTAATATGTAAACAGTTTGTAACTTTGCGAGGAGTTGGTTGATTTGTTGTGGATCCTGATCCCACCTGGCCACAGTTGTTATAGCCCCAAGCAAATACCTACACAAAACAAGGGGGAAAGAATGAATTATTAGTAACAGGGTGAACATTCTACCTCTAACACACATTAATAATCATAAAATAAAAATAAATCCACTTAATGAATATTTACAATGTGCTACATGGCTCTACATACTTTCTGGGCACCACTACCATCTTTAATTTTCATAGTCATCCTGTATAGTGACCCTGGGCCTGGGGTAGATACTATTATCACCCGCATTTTCTACACGGAAATGGAACCCGAGAGGTTAAGTGGCTTACTTGAGGTTCCACCAAGTAAGCAGTAACATGGAATGGGAACCTACGAAGTGTAGCTGTGCTCTTAACCATGACACTGTATTGCCTCTGTCATATGACAGCCATATATGATTCGGCTGGCATCAGTAAGAAATAGAGCATATACCACATAAGTAGCAGGGAGAGGAAAAGTCTGCTTAACTCTTTGAACACAGATACTCTTTTTTTTCCTTCACGGGAAGCTTTAAAGCCCTACAATGCTTCTCCCTGTCTCACTAATTGCCAAAACTGAGTATTACATAACCTTTCCTGATGACTCATGGCCATCACAACTATAATTACCAATCACAGTTACAGGTCATAACACTGTAAGGCTCACAAGTACCAAAGAGGTGTCTGTCCCTACAGAAATGACACCAGGTTGTTAGGCTATTCTGGGTACTGTCTTCGCTGAGTTTTCATTCACTGTCAGCTCCAAGCAACTCCCCTCCTCAAATGCACCCTGTGCACCTTTGGCCTATGATTTGCCATTAGGTGAAAACCAGATTTCTAAAGAGACCCAAATAAATCTCTAAGCTAGTTAAAATCTAGTAACAAAGATGAAAAACAAACAAACAAAAAAAATCACTTCATGTTAATTACCAACTAAGCCTATCAAATAAGAGTGTGACCAGAGAGAATAAGGGGAGGGTGGATGCCAGCAGCCTGGGAAAGAACTTCCTCCAACACTAGAATTTCTAGGGACCTCCACCCCTTTCACTTGCCCCGACAATGGTCCTCCCACATCCTGAAGTCTGGCTTCCACAATCTTTCCTTGGTCAACACTTCCTATCTCTGCTTACACGTCTGATACTGCCCAAGGCAACCAGAGCAAAACCTATGGCTGGAGCCTTAAAAGAATATGCAGTAGAGGTTCATTTCACAGATACAAAAGAAATAACTGGCAACACTTCCCGAGGGTGGGTTCACGGGAGCATCTGGTATAAGGCGGCAAATATTGAGCACAATTATCCAAAGTAGCATATTGGCTTACAGTTAAATAAACCAGGATTCCAGGCTGTACAAATTAGGGAATTCTAATTTTAATATTCTTCTGGCACTTCTTCTCAAGTATCTCAAGTCCCTTGCAGTGCAGCTGCCTTTTATTTAAAAATGAGGAGTAGGGTTCCAATAATCAAAATCATAGCAGCAAACTACGGATTCGGGGCATAAGACCCGGGTGCTAGGCCTAGTCCCAGCACATCCCAGCCGTGAAACCTTGATCTCATTCAGTTTCTCTGGTTTCTTCACCGGTAACCTGCCCCACATAATAAAATCACTGTTAACATCACTGACGGATTTTAAACGGGAGAACAGAATGATCTGTGCTTTAGAAGTCACAAGGAGTATGGGCACCTGGATGGTACAATCAGTTGGGCATCTGACCCTTGGTTTCAGCTTGGGTCAGGATCTCAGGGTCCCGAGACTGAGCCCCACATTGGACTCCTTGCTCGGTGTAGAGTCTGCTTGATATTCTCTCTCCTCATGCTCTAAAATAAATAAATCAATCTTAAAAAAAAAAAAAATTACAGGGGGCAGAAAAGTAGTAATACTTAACAGGTAGACCAATTAAAAAGCTATAGAATAAAAGAGACCATGGCAATAGCCCAGGCTGACAGCAAGGTCTAACCTCAGGTTATAGAGATAAAGAGAAACAAAATGAGACAAAAGATTAGAAGGTAGAATCAATAAGATCAGAAAACTTTATGATAAGTAAGCAAAGAACTTGGGGGTGAAAAAGTGGTACAGTAACCTATTGGAATGTTGGTAAAGTTATTTTCTATGACATCATTACATTTGCCAAAAAACAAAACAGACCTTAACGGATGGGGTAGTTAAAAAACAAAAACTAAAGGACAGACCACTGTCATACACATCTGATTTACAGTCTTAGCAAAGAGCAGGAGACTCAACTGCCTTAAGGCTTAGTCTACTGCTATCAAAAGGGTGGTCCTCATCCCATAGGTTTTATTAGAAAAAGAGTGTGTTCCCACATGTTTTTAGTTGTACACATAGGGCTACTATGTTTCCACTATCCCAGATATAAATAGGGTCATTATTTACATTTTAGGTTGTTAGCAAAAGGTGTTAACAGCCTAAATATCCATCAACAGATAAATGGACAAACAAAATATGGCATACACATATACAGAGTATTATTCAGCCTTAAAAAGGAGAGAAATTCTGACACATATGCCAAAACGGACAAACCCTGACAACATTATGCTCAGTGAAATAAGGCAGTCATAAAGGATGAACACTGCATGGTTCCACTGCAATGAGCTACCCAGAGCTGTCAGACTCATGGAGACAAAATGGTGTTCACCTGGGGACGGGAGGGAGAGGGAGAGCTAGTTTGGTAGGTGCAGCTTCGGCTCTGCAAGATAGAGTTCTGCAGACGGATGGTGATGCTGGTTGCATAACAATGTGAATATACTTAATGTCACTGAACTGACATTCAATAGATCACATGGATATAAAAATACATACACATATTTTATAAAAATATAAAATTTGCCATCCTAACCCATTTTAAGTGGTTAAAGAGACCATGGCAATAGTCCAGGCATATGATAAAATGGTTGCGGGAAGTGGCTCTCACACATCCTGAGGCCTGGCTTCCACAATTCTTAAAAATGGCTAGGACGGCAATTTTATATTACGTGTATTTTACCACAGTTTAAAAATAAAGAATAAAAGCAGGGTACTTACCTCTCCATCAGCTGCCAGAGCCATTGAATGATGTGAGCCACAAGCTACTTCAACCACTTGCTTGATCAAGAGATTGGTACAGACTTGGATGGGAGCAATGCCTTGGTTGGTCGTCCCATTCCCAAGCTGGCTATATCCATTGTGGCCCCAGGCATAAACAACTCCATCTATACGAGATAGCCACACACAAAGAATCAACTCCAAGAAGGAATGGTAAGTCCTGTACTTTCTTCCCCAGACTTTGCACCACTTATTCTCCAACCTTAATTTCTTTCACACTGCCTCCTTCTCCCTATAAAGTAACCACTGATGAAGGGAAGGGAAAGAGGGACAGATGAGGAAACCAGATAGAAAAACCTAGAATCATTCAAGAAAGGACCTGACACTAATAAGAGATCAGCTTTATGGTCAAAAGTCAGTTTGATATACAAAAATTAGACCATCTGAACACAGTGATTCATCTCAGTAGTTTCCATATCAGGTACCACGCAAAAGGCAAAAGACATAAGAAAGCTCACCATTATCAGTCTTTACTATCATTTTACCAAATACCAAGTCTCAGGGAACCACTGAGGGTGTATGTGTGTGTGTGTGTGTATACGCACGCATTGTGCACACACAACTCTCACAGAGTACAGAGGAAAGAGGTATACTTTTTGTATAAACTACACACAAAAATGCAAGAGCTTTCCTCATGCAGACTATAATTGGCAAAAAATCTGGCTCCATTTTTCTCTAATGACTTTATCTTTTTGGGACTCTGACAGAGGTAACTTCTTTGTTTCCTCTCTAGAAGTAACACTATTTTGTGCATTTCCTTCTATAGCAAGCCTAAGTGTCAAGAGCAGAGATCTCCAAGTTACACACTCTCCTCGAATCTTTCCCATGGTAATAAAACATCCTGCCCTATTAAGGACAATCTAGACCTGGAAATGATGATATCCAAGAGCAAAGCAGAAATCTAAGTGTTATTGTCAGGCTGTTGTCTTGCTGAAATGGTCCCTAAGCAACCAGGGAAAGGTAGGTTTCTGATTATCTAATCTAGAATCTAATCTCTGTTTCTCACAAGAGGTTTTCCCTATTACAAAAATTATGACAGAAACCATAAATGGGAAAATTCATCCTAAAAAGATTGACGCTATAGACTGAAAAAGTGTAACACCTAAAAAAAAAGTCCATGATATTATGTTAAAGTTACATCAGGTGATAGAAATGTCCAAACTTATAAGTGTTTTCATTCCTAAGAGACAGAAAAATAGACCTGAACATATAAAAATATAGCCCTTGATCTTGGATAGTAACACTCAGTATCAAAAAGATGGTAGTTTTTCCTATGCAAATATATAAATTTGAAATAATAGCAATAAAATGACTTAAGTTACTTTCTGGTACTAGACAAACTGATTAGAAAGTTCAGTGGTAAGAACACACGAATAAATAGAAAAATTCAAAGAAAAGAAGTGAGAGGACAGCTGGCTCTACCAGTTATTAAAACCTATAAAAAGTTTCTAAAACTAAAATTAATACTAGGACATGAACAGATAGACAAACCAGTGAAATGGAACTGAAGCTCTAGAAATAAACCAACTGCATACAGAAATAAAAGCTATGTCATTTCGGGAAAAAAGGACTTTTTACAAGTTCGTTGAAATAATTGGTTATGTTGAAAAATGAGATTCATTCCTCATACCATGATAACTTCCTAGTGAATCAAATATTTAAATGTGAAAAATAAAACTATACAATGGGTATTAAGGAGGGCACGTATTGCATGGGGCACTGGGTGTTACAGGCAAACAATGAATCATGGAACGCTGCATCAAAAACTAATGATGTACTGTATGCTGACTAATATAATACAATTTAAAAAAATAAAACTATACGAGAATTAGAAGGAAAGAATTGGTGAACTCTTCCATAATCTGGGAATAGGGAAACTTTCCTATGACTCAAAATCTAGAAGCAATAAAAAGAGTGATAAATCTACTTAATATGTTTTTTAAAACTTTACATGGAAAAAAACACCATGAACAAAGAAAAAAATGAAATATTAGGAAAAAATACTTATAATTTATATTACTAGGAGATGATGTCTGTATAATAAAAAGAGCTTCTAAAAATATAAAAGAAAAAGACCAAGAACCCTCTAGAAATATGAACTGATGGTTCACAATGAAAGAAATGTACATGACTCCTAACCATACGAAAAGATACTCACCCTCACTCTTAAGAGGAAAAATGCAAATTCAGAAGCTGGGACTCCTACTCACCAAAGCTACCACCTAGCTTCTACCATTGCCGGAAGCCCGCCATGTCAGTAACAAAGATTAATGCCGAGTCCCTGGCACAGCATCACCCTTTTAAAGAGACCAACTACCTACTTCGTAATAGCTGACTATTAACAAGCTGACTCCAATTGACTCCATCCTGGAAGGAGCAGCCATTCGTACTAACAGAAATCAACACATAATCCAGATAAAGGTTTCCTGCACACAGGGCCTGAGCTAGCACAGCTATACGAGGGCTTACAGAGTACTTGACCCCACAAAACTGCTCATTAGACCAAGGCAAAAGAGGTGCAGCAGTGCTCACATGACCACGGGGCTTCCGGTCCTATCTCATGAACAGCAACGTGCAACAGATGCCAGCTGGACACAGCGATAACAAGCCGGCTGAAGGTACAGCTAAGGCATCAGCCTCACCATGTGAGGACGGGACACTAAGCTCCAAGGTACAGATTCTAAACCAATGACCACTAAATGGTGCTGTTTCCCTAAGAGGTAGAGTATGTGGGTCCCGGAACCACAGCGGATTATATGAGTGACCCTACTGACCATCACTCCCAGGGACCGACTTGGGGAATCTGTGCTTCCTGTCCCTGAAATTAGAGGTTCTGTAGGTTTAGAAGGCCTGGTTCCCTAAGTAGAAACACTTCCACTAACGGACACAGCAAGAATTCCACTGAATGGCACTCTGTGTTCCTCTAGTCAAAGGATCAAAAGGAAAAAAAAGGAGTCAACCTGTTGGCAGGGGCAACTGACCCAGTCAGCAGGAAGAGGAAGGACTGATGGTATATACTGGGAGCAAAAGAGGAATATGCTTGGCAAGGAGGTGAAAGGTGGTACTTTGGGTGCCCACTTGCCCAACAGTGACGGCAAACGGAAATGCACAGTAGCCATAGCCAGAGTACAGCATGGTTAGGGGCTTGCATCCCTCAAGCATGAGCATCTAGGTCACACAATTAGGTTAGCCCCCTGGGCCAGATGCTACCCAAATAAGAAGGGAACCTAGAAGGAGCGTTAGAGGATGGAGGAGCTGAGTATCCATGTGGCCATGAGACTAGCTGCGGCAGGAGGCAGTGAATTATCCCACCAGTAGTCTTCACTAAGTCTTCCCTAGGAAAAGAGGCCCTCCAGAACCCTGGAGGAGCAATCCCCAAAACCTGTCAGAAGACATGGATCTGAGCGGTGCATGGAAGAGAATGAATGAATGCTGTGCTGTGTCACCCAGATGCTCCCTCGGAATTAAGGACCTTATTCTCCAGATGCTGGGACTGCTGCCAGCTGCCTGTTCTCAGCCATTGGTCCTCTCCAGAATTGCCCTTGGCAATCACCTTCTTGTGATTATTATTATTACATTATTATTATTATTACTATTATCACATTATTTTACTATCTTAAAATAGTATATATGTATACATGTTTCTTCCCTTTTTACTTGATGAAGCATAGGAAGAGTGAGCTTCCTGAGATGGCTCTTAGTCCCAGCTCCCCAGGAAGCTTTCAAAGCAACCCCAACCAACCCCATCAACTTCCCCAGCCCTGCTCTTGCCACACAGTCTCTGACTGACCAAGGATCAAGCTTCAGAATCATGTCAGGGTGAAGAGATGAGCAAAATTACCAATGGATGAGACAGTGAAACCAACTAGGATAGAAGGGAAAGTGAGGAGTGGGAAGGGCCCAGGAAAAGGCAAGCACGGAGGGAGGAAGCAAGGAAGCATCCCATAAAGTTCTGACCTTTAAGGAAACCCAGCCTTCAGAGACTAGAAGTAGAGTTGGAGGAGTGGTCAGAAACAACTAATTTCATAAGTAATCTAATTTAATATTGCTTCAGAAGACAGAAAAAGAAATCCACAAGCTCTAGGTCTATGTGTAAAGTAATAAACAAAATGAATACTGACCTTCAGAGTATCACCAGATGGGACTAGATTTTTTTTTTTTTTTTTTTTTTTTTTTTGAAGAAAGGCAGACTGCCACATAGCACCTTATTTGGCTGTGTCTAGGGTCTTGGAAGCTTGACTACCCTATGTTCTCCTACAAATGGACTTTGAGAGCTTGTTTGGAGGTTCTAGTGGGGAGTGCAGCTACGTATGCCCTGGACTTCCTCTATTGGGGAAGGCAGTCCTCTCCAACTGAGCACACAGCTTCAGGAGAGACGTACATGGAGCAGTGAAGGAGGAAGGGGACACCCACCTACCTAGCCAGAGCAGCTGTATCAACCCTGGTGATCAACAGGGTGACAGATGTGGCAGCCAGATCATGCTCACATCCTAGATTTTCAATTTAATAATGTAGCACTGACCTTTTGGAAAGAGCACAAAAGTCAGTGAAGTGTGGAAAATTGAACACGTTTTTATCTTTACTCCTTCCTTAAAACCTACCGAAATATAGTGAAGGGAGCAATTTTTTTTTTAAAAAAAAGGCATAAACAATCAAGGACAGAAAAGAACAATAAACGAGAAAATACAATAGGAGAGATGATGACAAAATTTTGGAAGACGGAAGGCAGGTAGATGTGGTTAGTAACGCCGCTGACCAGAGAAGGTGACACCTACAACTGCAAAAGAAGCAGCCAATTACAACTGGGATCTCAGGAAGGCCCAGGGATTGGAGGGACCCGACACCACAGGAGATGTAAGGGCAGGTGTAACCAAAAACAGAAGCACTTAGACCCCAAATCCTCATCCTCTTGCTGTGGGGTCAGACAACTACCCCTTCTCAACACTGGTATAAGACAAGAGACCTACAGCATTTACTTGCTGTGAATTTCTTGCTGTAACTGCCCTGAAGCCCACCTTCTCCCTTTGCCCAACCTCCCTCCCTTCCTTCTCCCACATAACACGACAAAGAAAATGAGCTAGGAAAATAATCCAGAAAGGCCCTGATGACAGCCTTGAGGCACCGTAGTGAGGAAAGAAGTGGAAGGCCACATAGTGAATAGTAAGATCCCTGTCCTTCCCCTGCTCATGGAAACCTGTCAAAAAAAAAAAACAAAAAAACAAAAAAACAAAAAAAAAACCTGTCCAGGTCAGGAATCTGGAAGGTTCCACTCTACAGAAGCTCATATACTGACACTGAGAGAATCCCTAATGAAACAGTTGCTATCTCCCTGAAGTGAAGCTTGGCACTTGAGAAGCCCATGAATCCAGAGTTCCCAGCACGTGTATTAGCACGTGGGTCTCACCTGCAGACAGACAGCCAAGATCACCAAACATTTCAAGAAAGCCCCTAACAAGGAAAGTCAGAGACTGGGGCGCCTGGGTGGCTCAGTGGGTTAAAACCTCTGCCTTCGGCTCAGGTCATGATCCCAGGGTCCTGGGATGGAGCCCCGCATCAGGCTCTCTGCTCAGCAGGGAACCTGCTTCCCTTCCTCTCTCTCTGCCTGCCTTTCTGCCCACCTGTGATCTCTGTCTGTCAAATAAACAAATACAATCTAAAAAAAAGAAGGAAAAAAAAGAAAAGTCAGAGACCAAAACAAATTAAGGAGAAAGAAAAAAATCCAGGAGGGGAAGAAAAAGAAACACTGCAGAGAACAGAAGACAACATGAAAGTAACCCACGACAACCTCAAAGAGAAGTCAGTGAATCCATGACACAAGGACAGGAGGCTCAAGAAAGGCACACTGAGAGAACAAGGAAGAGAACAGGAAAATGTAACAGCAAAAACGTGAAAATGTGACATCAGAGTTGTAAGATAAAGTTGAAGAAATTTCCCAAAAAGTAGAAAGGAAACAAAATATAAAAAAGAGGATCAGATCAGAATCCTTTAACTTCCTTCCAAGAAACATTCCAAAAAAAAGAGAACAGAGAAAACAAAGAAGGGACATTATCCATGAACTATAACAAGAAAATAATCCAGGACACCTGAGTGGCTCAGTTGGTTAAGCGACTGCCTTTGGCTCAAGTCATGATCCTGGAGTCCCAGACTGAGTCCCGCATTGGGCTCCCTGCTCAGTGGGGAGTCTACTTCTCCCTTTGACCCTTCCCCTTCTCATGCTCTCTCTCTCTCTCTCTCTCAATCTCTCTCTCTTTCTCTCTCAAATAAATAAAAAAAAAATAAAAAATAAATGAAACAAGAAAATAATCTAGACATGAAGGAATTTCCAAACTGAAGAGTCAACAGAATGATCAATACAATAAATTAAAAACTGGGGTCCCTGGGTGGCTCAGCTGGTTAAATGTCTGCCGTTGGTTCAGATCATAGTTCCGGGGCCCTGGGATCAAGCCCCAGTGGGGCTCCCTGCTCAGCAGGTAGTCTGCTTCTCCCTTCTTCCCCCCTGCTCATGATCTCTCTCACTCTCTCACTCATGCATGCATGCTCTCTCTCATAAATTCTTTTCTTAATTAATTAAAAATTACCCACACCAGAGTACATAACCATGACTTTTTTCAGAAAACTGGGAATAAAGAAAAGATCTTAAACCTTCCAAAAAGGAAAAAACGGTCATGTGCAAAAATAGCTAAAGACAGAATGGCATCAGAATCTCAAGAGCAACCCTGATTTGAGAGGTGTGATGACTTTAAAATTTGGAAATAGGATTTTTAATCATGAATTTTAAGCCCAGCCAAACCACTGAGCAACTGCATGCATAAAATGAAGACATTTTAAGAGAATGTCTCAAAGATTTCTCTCACACCACCTTCCTTGGGAAGCTACCAGAGAATCTGTTTCATCCAAATAAGGGTATAATCTAAGGAAGAAGACACAGGATCACAAGAAATAGGGGATCTAGAAAGGACAAAGGTGAGGGGACTTCCACAGATGACAGTGAATGAAGTTCTAGGTTGAGAGCTGGGCGACAGGCCTACAGTGACCAGTCCTGGCTGGAACACGGGGATGGAGGGCTCCAGAGACAAACAGACAAATCAGAAGTGCTGAGATACATATACTGCTCTACTGACACATTTGGACATAATGACAGCCCTACAGAAAAATAAGTGAATGAATCCCAGGAAAACAAACAGTTGTACAGAAGGTGGTGGCTCAGCCAAAAATCACTGTTACAGTCTCTTAATAATGTAAACACTGAATATCGACCTAACCAAAATGGTGGTGTTGCTATACTGAAAGGACTGAAGGAGGAAAAGAAGGGGAAAGAAAGCTAACTTCTATCAGCCATGATAAAAAGTGGAAGAATAAGATCTAAAATTGAAAATTCACAAAGAAAGTGTATGTGTATTAATTTAAAAATCAAGATTAAATGTGAAGAAACACTTGAAGGGGTTAAAAGTGGTTCCTTCTGAAGGGTAGTTTCTAAGACTGAGGAGGGGCGAAGCAGAGGTCCTTCTGTTTTTTACTAAAATCCATACACTACTTGATGGTTTGAAGTGTTTTAAATGGTTTAATTTGTTTTAAAACTATTTGTTCGTAATACGTATACAATATGCACAAATATATGTGCTATACATACACTGATACATGATGTAGGATACATTTAAAGTATATTGTATAAAATGTATTATAACAATCAAAACGGAATTAAAGAAAATATTCCCACAAGAAAATCAGTTATTTTATTTATATTTTTATGTTTTATGTTTACTTATGTTTATATCATTATAACACTCAAGAGAGTTAAGACTACACGATCTGGACTCTGCAAATAATTCCAAGAGCTGTAATTTGCTAAGGTCACCACTTTGAAGAAAACCAAGAATTTAAATATATATGTTTTAGGGGTGTCTGGGTGGCTCTGTCGGTTAAGAATCCAACTCTTTGGGGGCTGGGTGACTCAGTCATTGGGCGTCTGCTTTCAGTTCAGGTCCTGATCCCAGTGTCCTGGGATCGAGCCCTGGATCGGGTTCCCTACTCAGCAGGAAGCCTGCTTCTCTCTCTCCCACTCTCCCTGCTTGTGTTCCCTCTCTGGCTGTCTATCTGTCAAACACATAAAATCTTTAAAAAAAAAAAAACAAGAATCCAACTCTTGATTTCAGCTCTGATCATGATCTCAGGGTCATGAGATCAAGCCCGGTATTGGGTTCCAAGCTCAGTGGAGAGCCTACCTGAGATTCTGTCTCTCCCTCGCCCTCTTCCCCTCCCCCCACTCACACATGAATGTGCGCACACGCTCTCTCAAGTAATCTTTATTTTAAAAATAAATAATATAAATGTATACGTTTTAGTGTGTTTGCTCTAAAAAACTGTCCCAGTGTTTTACAGTCAGATATCAGTAACCAGTTAAAAGTGGTATTTGTTAGGAAAAAATCAAATCATTAGGTCATGAGAGATGACAAGCAGAACCAGTCAGCAAAGTAGTAACTGCCTGAGAGAGCCAGTGTGATGCCAGAAAGCACAGTTACACAACACGGGAAGTGAGATCATCACTTCATTACGCTCAACACCAGTTATATTCTCACTAGACAATCACACTCAGATTTGGATCTCACAGCTTGAGAAAGATGCAGACAACTTGGAGTGGATTCAGATATGAATTAAAGGCAATTAAAAAGCTCAATACTAAGACCTCTGGCAATATCCAAGGAAGCTGATTCCTCAGTCTGGAGAGAGAAAGAGAAGCAAAAAAAAGCTTCCCCACAGAAAGCAGAGGGTCTCTGCTATAGAAAGAGTTAACATGCTTAAAATATTAAGGAAGAATTTAGGTTATATAGAACCTATTTTTCAGAGTCCTGGTTGTCCACAGTGCAGATAAATTACTAAAGAAGAACGTTACCGTGTCCTTCTTCAGTGATAGGAGAAGTAAAAAGAGTAAAATCTATCCCACATTCTTTCCAGATGGCACACACATGAATGCAAGGGAATAAACGAAGATTTCTTAAATTTGAGATTCAGGAACTACACAATAAAAGGAAAACCAGAATTATGTGTGTTTATAAAAACGTGCCAAATAAACCCCAAAAGTTGCCTTGCTACCATAAATCCACTGAAAAATTAGGCTGAAGAACTACTTCATTTGTTACATCTAATCTTTAACGACTTTACATTAGTATGCTAACGTTTGCTTAATTTGCAAGCAATATTATGGCTGCTCCAGAATTAACCTAAAGTGCTTAACAGTTTGGTATAGTTCTCAGAAATTAAGAAATAAACCATTCGAAATTATTTCATATGGCCCCACCTCCCCTTAGCTCAGAATTAATGCTTGATTTCCCACAATGTGAAAAGCTGACTTTGTTCCCTCTTTACCTTCAGTGCTGAGAAGGACATGTGGTCCACTCCCATAACTAAGGCTTTTAATCTTCTTTCCACATAAGGCTTCTAGCTTTTTGGGTATAAGTGTACTCTGGTTATCTCCAGTTCCTAGACAGTTACTATAGTTCAGGCCAAATACAAAGACCTAGAAAACAAATAGTTTTGTCTAAGTCACTTGGCCTAAAGTTACACAAAGGCTCCCTTCTCCACTCTGAAAATAAGACACACTCAAGTTCAGTGTGACAGCTCAGTAGGTAGGAAAAGATGGATCGCATTAAGAAAATTTCAAGCTCTGCTAACATTATTGAAGTTTTAGAATACGTGGCTATATTATGAAATTCAAAGAGTAGCAGAGGGTTGAGGGGTATTAAATCAAGAAACTGAAAAGAGAGAGAAACTGTATCAAAGACATGGTCTTCTTGAATTTCAGGTTCTTTTTATTCCCAACCTTTTCAGCAGATAAGGAGGTAGGCCTTGCTGGATCCATCTGGGATAGCGGTAGGAGAAAAGACTGGAAGGAAGGTAAGGGCCAAGGGGATAAAGTGCCAAAAAACATACCAGGGAAAGTGGAATGAATGTGTCTATGCATCTTCCACTGAATTAGTTCAAAACAGAGACTAATATGAGTAAACTTGCATTCTGGAAAGCTCAGCTGGGCACAACCTTTTCTTGGTCTTCAAACATCACACTTTAGAGCTCACCCCTATTCCACGCTGGGTTTTAAGAGATTCTTACCTCATCATTGTCAGTAACGTACAGTGCTTCATTGGCTGAGGTGCCAAAGACACATGCTTTCCGAATAGATGCAATTTCTTGAGGGGAGAGCAGAGTGAAGATTGGCCACTTTCCTACATCCACCATGACTCTGGCTTCAAGTAATTCCTATAAATAAGCCGACATCTCTGCTGCAACAAAAAAAGGCCCCAAGAAAAAAATTAAATAACCACTAAACTAACTTCCAAAAAAAGACACTGTGAATAAAAGAAAACCTAATTCCAAAAGAAAGTACCAACCTTTGGTTAAATGGATCGCTCACGTTCCCCAGCAACCTCTCCAGTCCTTCCTCCACTGTCAGACCTGAACTTTTTTCTACAACAAGAGAACAACTCGATAGAACCAGTTGCTGGTCTTACCAACTTACAAATCAGTGCTTATCTGTTACAGACATGCTCACTTGCAACCAGAGAGCAGATAATGGAAAGGCAACTAACTGGATGAAACCAAGGTCTCTCGTCAGGCAATTTTTCTTTAGGTTACTGAGATAAAAGTTAAAGGTTACAGTACTAGTTTGTCTAAGACACTCAATTCTTGCTCAGGAGAGGGAGGGCGGGAAGGTGTGTGCATGCACTGAATGTTACAAAAATCAGAATCATTACCTCTACTTCCCCACTGTCCTCCTTCCACCCCCAAGATGCACTCAAAGATCCCCATCCTTCATAGAAAATCACTGCCATGCCAAGCCACTGTTTAATCATGGCAATGGGACATCCCTCACGTAAGTCTAGAGTGGCAAAAATACTAAGAAGGACAAGACTAAGATATACTGAATGAAACCATAAAATAAAGTATTATATTCTAGTCCTAATTTCTATGACATTTTCTATATACAGATCAAATTTCATTTCATACTGAAAAGGTATCAGATGAACAAGGGAAGACAATTCACCCTAATCTTGTTGTTCAAGGTCATGACTATAGCCTTCATGCAAGCAGCAATTAGCTTAAATAGTATCTTATAAAAAGTAGACATAGGTATAAATTTCCATAAAACTCTAAACTTGACCTGTTTAAGGAGTTTTACACAAAGAATCCATCCTGGTCATGCCTCCAATTCTTCTAGGGTTAAAAAGTATTTCTAGAAATTCCAGGGAGCTGCACAAGCACAAAACCCTACCATGCCAACTGAGTTTCCATTCTGGCTCTCACCTCTAGAAACTGAAATAGAACCAGTTTATAAATACAACCAGGGTTTCCTAATGAGGTACAGAACTCCTGAAGTTCCTTCCTCCTCACTCTCTTCTCAGATCTCTAAAAATAGTCAGGAGAGCCAGGCTCAAGACCAAGGCCTTCTGGGCTACAGTACCTCTGATAACACCTAGAGAGAGCCTTGGGGCTTTGGTATACTTAACCAAGGCCTCAATTTTCACCATCCAGGGAGATTTTTCCCATGAGCACCAACTCGTCCAATGACAAGGACCAGATAACTACTATATACCAAGAATCACATCACATACTCAATAAGCATTTAACACGATCAGGACAGGCTATTCCCCATCAATCAGACTACTGGAACAACATGTGAATGTTCTGAGAAGTGTGCATAGGCATGTGCTGGTGGGAACAGGTAAAGTTTGAGGAAGGGTGAAAAACTAATACATAAACATGTTCAAAAATTTTGTTTCAACCAGTTCAAAGGAGTAAAGTAAGTCTCTCTACTTTATCCCTCCCCAGCCCTCTCCTCAAAGGCAACCACTGTGAACAGTTGTTTCTAATTCCTTCCAGAGACTGTGTATGCTTATAAAAGCATTTTGTGGATGTGTGTGTGGAAGCCTTTCTTCCCTTACTTAACAGTGCTTCTTGGAAATCATTCTATATGAGCACATGCAGATTTACTTCATTTCTTTTCAATGGTACTATGTAGCATTCCATTACATCACGTTAACAACTTACCTGCTTCCACTGAGAGACTGTTTAAGTCACTGCTAGTCTTTTCTTAACATAAACAAGACTCCAATTATTGTCTACATACATTATTGCACATACTTGTCTTTTTTTATACATGCATTTATAATATAAATCCCTAAAAATGGAACTGCTGGGTTAAAGTTTAACTGCTATTTTCTTAAAGATTTACTTATTTATTTGAGAGCCAGCAAGCACACAGTGGGGACGGAGGGCAGAGGGAAAGGGAGAAAGAGCCTTAAAGCACCACCTAGGCACCCAAATTGCTATTTTACCTTTTAACAGTTACCTCAAATTGTCCCTTACTGAAGTAGTACCAGTATACAAAATAACTACCAATGTATGGCAGTACCTGGTTAGCCATATCCTTACCACACGGTTTTATCATGGTGTCTCAGTTTTGTTTCAGCTTGAACTCCTCCTATGATGAGTGAGGCTGGGCATATTTAAAAAATAATCACAATAACAGCAATAATAACAACTGACATTTCTTGAACACAATGTGCCAAGTACTGCTCCTAATATTTTCTTTTTTAAGATTTTATTTATTTGACAAGGAGAGAGAGATCGCAAATAGGCAGAGAGGCAGGCAGAGAGTGCGGTGTGGGGGGAAGCAGGCTCCCTACTTAGCAGAGAGCCTGATGCAGGGCTTGATCCCAGAGCAGGGGATCATGACCTGAGCCGAAGGCAGAGGCTGAACCCACTGAGCCACCCAGGCGCCCCATATTTTCTATTAACTCATGTAAATCCTCACTTTATAGACAAGGAAATGGAGGCAAAGAGATTTCAAGAATTTGCTCAAACCATTAAGTGGCTGAATCAGAGCCTGAAGCCACACAATCCGGAATCTGGAATCTGCACGCACACTCTTGACCTCTTGGCCTCATGCGTCATCCTTTCACATAAAGTCCCTTTTTTTCTTCTGGTCTATTGTTCTTTTCTTTGTTCTTGATTTTTGTGTTCTTTGTATGGTAAGATTGTCTTAAATGCTCTTAGAGGTAACAAAAAAGATGCCACTTACCCTGTCCCACCCAAACGGCCTGACTTGTGTCTCTTACAAAACAGACAGGGAGGGGCACCTGGGTGGCTCACTGGGTTAAGCCGCTGCCTTCAGCTCGGGTCATGATCTCGGGGTCTTAGGATCGAGCCGAGTCAGGCTCCTTGCTCAGTGGGGAGCCTGCTTCTCTCTCTGCCTCTGCCTGCCCCTCTGCCTGCTTGTGCTCTCTGTCTCTCTGTCTGTCTGTCTGTCTCTCTCTCTCTCTCTCTCTCTCTGTCAAATAAATAAATAAATAAATAAAATCTTCAGAGAAAAAAAAAAGGGAAGGAGTCACAAGAAAGGAAAACAGTGTAAATGTCTAGAAGCAGATAAATCAATTCCACCCCCTCAAAAAAAAAAAAAAAAAAATCCAGAACTTTATTTTCCTAAAATGTGAACCACATCAAAGTTAGTCCTCACATTTAATATTGCATATAATATAGAATTTTAAATAAACAGGGAAAACGGGGGATTTAAATTAGCCAAAAAAATATAATTTACCACATTTAAAATTACAACACAAAGGGATACTATCATCAAACTTAAACATTTTCCTGACAACAGTACAATTATTCTGAAGTCATTAATCAGTCATGGGCAACTCCGACCCCAAAGGTTTGGTAAGCTACTGAAAAATCAGGCTTTCATAATGATGGCTTATTATATGAACTTATTATATATTTCATAATGATGGCTTATTATATGAACCCATTTCTAAATTACTTGAAGTTTTGTTTTACAAGATATTTCTCCAAAGGCTTATAAAATTAAAAGTTAAAAAACCAGGTCATGTATCTCATAGGTCCACACCATCATAAAAGCAGAAAGTATTAGCAATAGCCTTGGTATGGTGGAAAAGACAGTGTCCTGAAGCACGTGTTTTATTCCCAGGTTGGCTTTTAATTAATCAGTGTGACATGCCACATACCTTCCTGAGCCTGGGTCTCTCAAAAATCTGTCCTGTAAGATTCTATAATGTTATACTCAAGATGTAAAGAACAAGCTGCAGGGGATTTTGGAACACATAAGAACAAGGGCAGTAATGCTGCACAAGCAAGTAATCACTCCTAGCAACACGATCCTGTGAAGTAAACAAAGACCAGGAAGGAAGACAGGAACAGCGATGGAGAACAGATGCAGACATTATGTTAAGCAGCTTCACATATATTATTTCATTTAATCTTCACGATACTCTTGTAAGGAAAGTTATAATCCATTCTTAGCAAATAAGAAGTGGGGCTCAGAGGTAAAGTAACATCCCAAGGTCACAGAGCAGTGAGTGGCATAGTCAGGACTCAACCCCCAGCCTTCTGAGTCTTCTTACATCAGAGAACATCAGCCCTGGCCCTTCAGTAGTTAAACTTCTCCAACATTACTTCCTTCTGACTTTATCCAATAATGTACACCAGCATCTGTTTTTAAAATGCTTCAAATACAAAAAGAACTCCCCCCCCCCAAAATGTATTCACTAATAAGCCTCTATCTAGACTTGCCTGGTGAAACCTTGAGAATGTCACTCATTCCTTCCTTTTTCCGAAAACCACTAGGCAGCACATCCTGGAGACCAAATGCAGGACCCTTTGTCCTCAAGGAGCTCACAAGAGTAGATGAACGCAAGGTGCCTCCTTGGGCTACAGACTGCTACAGCACAAGGTTGTCTCCCTTAGACCATGTTCAAGATGAGCAGCTGATGACACGAACAAGGTATCCTCAGAATTCAGACAAGGTTCCCCAAGAAGTTTTGTGGAGGTATTATAACTCAGGATGTACTATCTGCTGTAAGGAATAGATCAGTTCTGAACGTGGGCATGTGGTGTCTCTTTCCTAGGGCAGTATAATATAAATGCAAATTCTACCAACATTCCCTAATTAACTCAAAATTATCACCATTATCATTACAATTAGATTACTGTGGTGAGATGTTGGGGGCAGCGAAACCTTTGCTAACTAATATTAAGAAAAGCATACTAAGATAAGTATCATTCTATCAACTTCTTATGTTTGACCCTCTACCACAAAATTACAAAGTGTGTATACTACAAATCCAAAAGGCTAAAGCAGTTGGAATCACTAGAAATTAACTAGCATTTAATCTGTTATGAAATCTATACCAGGCCCAAGACTCACCGTGCCTAACAATGAGTCAGAAATATAAGGATCAGTCACAAGAAGAACAGTATTAGGACAGCTCAAATGTCTCATGACATCTACTAAATTTGCCCAAACAAGAAGTATTAACAAATTTGTTCTAACTGTATGGATTACACTGAAAGGTATATAAACATAGTTCAACATCCTTTCACTTAAGTCATCATGCTTCAAATAGTAATATTCTATCAGAAGCCACTACTAATAGGAAAGAATCTTCATATGGCCTGCTCAACCTGGGCCATCCTGGATAGACACATACTCTGGAAAGTATTCAGCAGTGATTTTTAAGGAAGGTAACCCAATGCTTTTCCTTCCATAGTACTATGACACATCCCTCAAATGAAATATCCCAAGAGAGATGCTAATACTAAACTATGAGCTTATTCTTATGTTAAAAACAAAACAAAACACCCTGCAAAACCACCAAGTGCACCTGTAAGGCTTAGCTATGTTAGAAAACAGTACGAGCTATGTGATTAAAATTTTAAAAAACATAATACATACAGATAAAGGACACATACACACCAAATGTATTTCTCTAGTGAGATTAAGAGGTGATACTTTCTTTGTACTGCTCAAATATATTCCACATTTCTGTAACAAACACTTTGTGGCCAAAAGATAAGCAATTATTTTAAATGAAAATAAAAGCTTAGTTATTTGAATTACATATACCCCTAAACTGCTAAAGTTTAAAGAGAGATTCTTGCCTTAAATTTACAGCCTAGGATGGCAGAGTGTTTCAAGCAAATCTGTAAAATGAGTTATTAATATAAAATTAAA